GGGATGGTCAGGGACTGGGGGCCTGATGGTTGGGGTCTTACACTCCCAGGCATGTCCTAAGCAGTGACGGGCTTGTTCCTATAGGCACTGATCCCGCTGGCCCTGGAAGGCACGGACGTGGGGCAGACAAAGGCAGCCCAGGCCCTTGCCAAGCTCACCATCACCTCCAACCCCGAGATGACCTTCCCTGGTGAGCGGGTGCGTATCTTCCTGCCCCGGCCTTTCTACTCCCTCTGTCCCTGATGGCCTGTGGGCTGGGCTGTAGCTCCCCTTTGGGACCAGCAGGAAGTTTCAACTTTGCCAAACCCTGGGGCAGGGAGGACAGCAGTACTCTCTTAGGGGTGGGCTCCTCCCTGCAGAGTTGGTGGGGCTTGTGGGGCCTGCAGCAAGTACCCGACAGGTGGGTGCATGTTGCAGATCTATGAGGTGGTCCGGCCCCTTGTCTCCCTGCTGCACCTCAACTGCTCAGGCCTGCAGAACTTCGAGGCGCTCATGGCCCTAACAAACCTGGCCGGGATCAGCGAGAGGCTCCGGTAAGGTCCCTTGGGATTGCGGGGCCTGGACCAGGCATCAGGATTTGGAATATCCCCCACAGCAGTTTACACAGTGGGAAATGCTCCCCGGTCATTGGCTTCTGTGAGCCTCACAGTGACTCCTCTGCATCATTAGAGAGGAGGAGACAGGCTGAGAGGCAGCATGGCACGGCAGACTCTAGAGTCAGACTGCCTAGCTTCCCTGATTGCAAATGGGTAACCTCAGGCAAGTTATTTAACTGCTGTGCCTCAGTTTTTCCCTCTGTGAAATGGGATGATTATAGTACCTACCTCATGGCATAGTGATGAGGAGAATAAAATGAGAAAATACACTTAAAAGTACTTACTACATGGGTACCTGGCCCCTAGCATTGTGCCATATCAGCAGGTTTTAGTTTTTTTTTTTTTTTGAGATGGAGTGTTGCTCTGTTGCCCAGGCTAGAGTACAGTGGTACAATCCCAGCGCACTGCAACCTCCACCTCCCAGGTTTAAGTGATTCTCCTGCTTCAGCCTCCTGAGTAGCTGGGATTATAGGCGCACGCCACCACGCCCAGCTAATTTTTGTATTTTTCTAGAGACATGGTTTCACCACATTGGTCAGGCTGTTCTAGATTTCCTGACCTTGTGATCTGCCCACCTCAGCCTCCCAAAGTGCTGGGATTACAGGTATGAGCCACTGCGCCCGGCCAGCATGTTTTAGTTTTATTACTAACTGTGACTTTGAACATATTACTCATTACTTAGCCCGTTTCCTATTCTGCAGAACAGTAGTGATGATGATCACACTAGCACCTTTACCGTAGGGCCATGGTGAGGATTAAGTAAGATGATCCAGGTGCCTGGTCAGGGTAAATACTCAGATGAGGCCGGGCACGGTGGCTCACGCCTGTAATCCCGACACTTTGGGAGGATGAGGCAGGAGGATCACTGGAGCCCAGACGTTCAAGCCAGTCTGAGCAATGTAGTAATACCTCGTCCCTATTTAAAAAAGAAATTAAGGAGAACATCAGGAACAATAGCTAATGGATGCTGGGCTTTTAATACCTGGGTGATGGGATGATCTGTGCAGTAAACCACCATGGCACACGGTTACTTATGTAACAAACCTGCACATCCTACACATGTACCGCTGAACTTAACAGTTGGAAAAAAAATTAGCAAGGTGTGGTGGCATGCACCTGTAGTCCCAGCTACTAGAGAGGCTGAGGCAGGAGGATCACTTGAGCCTGGGGGATCAATGCTACAGCAGTGAGCTGTGATCATGCCACTGTACTCCAGGGTGACAGAGTGAGATCCTGCCTCAAAAAAACACAAAAGCAAAAACCCTCAAATGTTAGGCGTTAACCTCACCATCACAACCACCCTGGTCTTCTGCCTCCTAATTTTGAGTATTTTCCACAATCCTATGCTATTTCCCAGGCCTGGTTAGAAGGCTAAGAAGCACTGTAGTTCCTGTCTGGTGCAAGAGGGTCCTTAGACATTGCCAAGAGAAATCCTCAGCCCAGGACTTGATTGCATGAGAGTGTGGGTGCAAGGGTGGAGCGGATGTAGAAACTCTGATGATGCTGCCTGTGTTAGTCTGTTCTTGCATTGCTGTAAAGGAATACCTGAGACTAGGTAATTTATAAAGAAAAGAGGTTTAATTGGTTCATGGTTCTACAGGCTGTATAAGTATGGCATCAGCATTTGCTTAGCTTCTGAGGAGGCCTCAGAGAGCTTTTTCTCATAGTAGAAGGCAAAGCAGGAGCAGGCACGTCACCTGGTGAAAGGAGGAGGAAGAGACAGTGGGGGGAGATGCCACACACTTTTTTTTTTTTTGAGATGGAGTCTCCCTCTGTCACCCAGGCTGGAGTGCAGTGGCATGATCTTGGCTCACTGCAACTTCCACCTCCTGGGTTCAGGCGATTCTCCTGCTTCAGCCTCCCCAAGTAGCTGGGACTACAGGTGCGCACCACCACGCCCAGCTAATTTTTTTTTGTATTATTAGTAGAGACAAGGTTTCACCATGTTGGCCAGGCTGGTCTCGAACTCTTGACGTCAAGTCATCTGCCTGCTTCGGCCTCCCAGAGTGCTGGGATTACAGGTGTGAGCCACCACACTCAGCCGAGATGCCACACACTTTCAAACAACCAGATCTCATGAGAACTCATTATCACGAGGACAGCACCAAGCCATGAGGGACCCATCCCATGACCCAGTCACTTCCCATCAGGCCCTACCTCCAACACTGGAGATTACAGTTCAACATGAGGGTTAGAAGGGACAACATCCAAACTGTATCCCTGCTGCTTCCTCCTGTGGCCCTGCAGGCAGAAGATCCTGAAGGAGAAGGCTGTGCCCATGATAGAAGGCTACATGTTTGAGGAGCATGAGATGATCCGCCGGGCAGCCACAGAGTGCATGTGTAACTTGGCCATGAGCAAGGAGGTAAGGGTTGATCCAGGTGCTCATGACAGGTGGGGATGCAGAGGTACCTGTGCCCTGGCTGGGCTTCGCACCCAGCTGACTTGGTCCACTCCCCACATCTGGCCACAGGTGCAGGACCTCTTCGAAGCCCAGGGCAATGACCGGCTGAAGCTGCTGGTGCTGTACAGTGGAGAGGATGATGAGCTGCTACAGCGGGCGGCTGCTGGGGGCTTGGCCATGCTCACCTCCATGCGGCCCACACTCTGCAGCCGCATTCCCCAAGTGGTCAGTGCCTCTTCTCAGTGGGGGAGTGGGGACGGACCAGGAACTCCCAGCATGGTGGCAGCTGAAGGGGGCAGTCCTAGGGTGTGTGGGTGTGTCCCTTGCCAAGTTTGAGCCTGTTGCTTGGGGGTCATATCTACCCTGTTTCTCACAGACCACACACTGGCTGGAGATCCTGCAGGCCCTGCTTCTGAGTTCTAACCAGGAGCTGCAGCACCGGGGTGCCGTGGTGGTGCTGAACATGGTGGAGGCCTCAAGGCAGATTGCCAGCACCCTGATGGAGAGTGAGATGATGGAGATCTTGTCAGTGCTAGCTAAGGGTGACCAGAGCCCTGTCACAAGGGCTGCTGCAGCCTGCCTGGACAAAGCAGTGGAATATGGGCTTATCCAACCCAACCAAGATGGAGAGTGAGGGGGCTGTCCCTGGGCCCAAGGCTCATGCACATGCTACCTATTGTGGCACAGAGAGCAAGGACAGAAGCAGCTTTGGCTGGTGGTGGCTGGCATGCCCAGTACTCTCGCCCCTCCTCGCTTGCTGCCCTAGGATGTCCTCTGTTCTGAGTCAGCGGCCACGTTCAGTCACACAGCCCTGCTTGGCCAGCACTGCCTGCAGCCTCACTGCGAGGGGCCCTTTCTCTGTACTACTGTAGTCAGCTGGGAATGGGGAAGGTGCATCCCAACACAGCCTGTGGATCCTGAGGCATCCTGAAGGGCACACACATCAGCAGCCTCACCAGCTGTGAGCCTGCTATCAGGCCTGCCCCTCCAATAAAAGTGTGTAGAACTCCACTGTGTGCCCTGTCCTTGGGCAGGGAGGGCTGCTGTGGGTGGGAGTCTCTGAGTGTGGATGAGTATGGGTGTGAGCTGGGCGTGGGTGAGTGTGCAATGGAGCTTCACAGTGGCAAAGCCACCTCCATGGAAGGAATCCAGTGGATTCCCCAACCAGGGCCCAATGAATTGCTTCTTAATCCTATTGGAGGGACAAAGAGTAAGCCTAGGAAGCTAATCAAGAAACTCGCCAGACGTGGTGCCTCAAGCTTGTAATCCCAGCACTTTGGGAGACAGGCAGGTGGATCACTTGAAGTCAGGGGTTTGAGACCAGCCTGGGCAACATGGCAAAACCCTTTCTTTTTCTTTTTCTTTTTTTTTTTTTGAGGCGGAGTCTGGTTCTCTTGCCCAGGCTGGAGTGCAGTGGCTGGATCTCAGCTCACTGCAAACTCCGCCTCCCGGGTTCACGCCATTCTCCTGCCTCAGCCTCCCGAGTAGCTGGGACTACAGGCGCCCGCCACCTTGCCCGGCTAGTTTTTTGTATTTTTTAGTAGATACGGGGTTTCACTGTGTTCGCCAGGATGGTCTCGATCTCCTGACCTCGTGATCCGCCCATCTCGGCCTCCCAAAGTGCTGGGATTACAGGCTTGAGCCACCGCGCCCGGCCAAAACCCTTTCTTTATTAAAAACACCAAAAAAAAAAAAAAAAAAAAAAAAAAAAAAAAACTGAGCAGAATGTGATGGTGTGCATTTGTAATCCCAGCTACTCGGGAGGCAGAGGCTGCAGTGATCCAAGAGCGCAGCCTCCCAAAGTGTCGCCTGGGCGACAGAGCCAGACCCTATCTCAAAAAATATTAAACTATCCTAATAAATCGTTTAGGGTACAGACTCACATATGCTGGGCCTTCAACACTTTTGTCTTTATATTGGAAGCCGTCTGTGGCCTCTGCGGAGAGGGCGCTTGGGGGGTTGGGATTGGTGGCCAGCTGAGCCTGGTTGAAGGACGGTTTGGGCCGCGCCCACCACCCTAGCCTGTTTCAAGGAGGGGTAAGCCCAGCGTGAGGCTCATTGGCTCGACAGGGGCACGTGATGGGTCCTGAGCCAATCCGTGGAAGGTAAAAGCTGCTTCCTGTTTGGGCATCTGTCCGCCGCGGGTCTGGTTTTGAGCTGCTGCGGTCCCGGACTGAGGTGGGTGGCGGGGTCCGCCCGTCTTGGGGGTCACTCCTCGTCAACCCTTTAGCTCGGGTCTTAATGAATGTCCCCTCGGCGGTTCTAATCCGAGCTCTACCCCCCCGGGTTCCTTCAGGGGCGGGACCACCTGGTCCAACCTCTGCCTTGGTCCAACGCCTCCCGGAGGTTTCAGTCCATTTCACAGACCCGGCGTAGGCCTTGGGACCAGAGCGGCCCTGGCAAGGAGGTGAACAGGGCTGCGGCCGTCGCGCCCCGGGCAGCGACGTCACCGCCCTTGCCGGGGATTGGCCGCCTCGCGTCGCACGCCCTTCATACCTTTTCTCCCCGTGACTGTCGGCGCCCGCTGGGCGAGAGGCCTATTCGGAGGCGGCAGCTCTGCGGCTTGGCGTTTCCTCCAAGGCTGCCCACCAGAAGGACCTGTCCAAGAGGGTGGAGGGCATAGGGTCAAGATCAAGGTCAGAGGCCCCATTAGGTTGGGAGAGGACACGGAAGGGGTTAGGAGCCCAGGAACTGGGGTCGCAGGAGAGACCCAAGATCTGACTTCAGAGGCCTGAAAATGCCATTGCAATTCTGCTTCAGCCCGGGTGCGGCGGCTTACGCCTGTAATCCCAGCATTTTGGGAGGCCGATGTGGTCGGATCGCTCGAGCCCAGGATTTCAAGACCAGCCTGGGCAGCATAGCGAGACCTCTGTCTCTATTATATAAATAATTAAAACAAAAACAAAAACAAAAAAACCTGCTCCAGCCGAATCTGCTTGAAGTGGCGTTGCTGTTGTAACCGCCAGACTGTGTTTGTCTCCCCATTTAAGGATTAGCTCCTTGGGAGCAGACAACTGTCCTCACTGGCACAGAGGAGGAGCGCTCAGTAAATTCTTGCTGGACGAATAAACGACTAGATAAGGTACAGTTGAAATCGTGTCTGTATAACTTTCTCAAAACCAACAAGATGTCCAGGGATAATCTTTTTTCTCAACGCTAAATACTGGATTCAATAAGCTCATACTGTGTGTTTATCATGGCATGTACTCGCACCAAACCCTTTATTTGCATTTATTACAACTCTGTGAGGTAGGTTGAAACAGCACCGCCCCCACTTCCTTTGTAAACTGAAGAAAGGCAACTGAACTCAGGTTAATTGGCCAAGGTCACAAGGCCCCGCTAAGTTGCAGAGGCACTGCCTCCCAAACGCTCTTCTGCGTTCCACTGTGGGGTGAGGGGCAGAGCACTGTGTGTGGAGTTCGTGGGACCTGATTTCAGTCTTCTGCCCGTCTCTGTCTAGCTATGAGTGTGTAAGGGTTATTTTCTCTGGGAATCGCCTCTGTAAAACGACCATTTTGGTTCCCAAGATAACATGGGATAAAGTGCCAGATGCTGGGAAGCTGCGGAACGGGGTGGGGGTGTCGGGGGCGCTCGGATCCTAGTCCAGTGCCCAAAGGACAGGCCACTTCGTACCCACTTTGTGGCACGCTGAGCTTGAGCCAAAAGGGAGGACAGGGAAAGTGCCTCACTAAATATTTGAGAATCTTTGTAAATCCGGTAGGGCATTAGCTAGGGCGCCTGCTCAGCGAAACGTTGGGGCACGGACTCTGCCTTTGTGGTTAGGAGAATGATAGTTTCGCTATTTTATAGATAAGGCAACTCCAGCCCCTGGAAGGCCAGAGACTTGCCAGTGTCCCACTAGCGGGCTCTTTACAAGAATCTCCCTGGGCCCGCCGCAGCCAGGTGGCGGACTGCAGAGCGCGCTGCTGGGGCATGGCGGAGGAGCGGCCAGGGGCCTGGTTCGGCTTCGGTTTTTGCGGCTTCGGGCAGGAGCTGGGCTCCGGACGCGGGCACCAGGTGCACAGCCCCAGTCCGCTGCGGGCGGGCGTCGACGTCTGCCGCGTGAGCGCGAGCTGGAGCTACACCGCCTTCGTGACTCGTGAGCGCTCCCCGCCCCGTCCCCACTTATTCCAGCAGCACTCTCCAGTCGCCTCCCCTCACCGCTGTGGTCAGTCCAGGGTGTCTTCCCCATTCAGGCCGCCAGCCCCACATTCTGGGTCGGCCCCTTCCCAGGAACACCCCCCGACCCCGCCTCCATTCTGGCCACCCTGCCCCAGTCTAGACCAGCCCCCAGCGCCGCCCCCAATTCTAGGCCCTCGGTGCCTGTCCCTTCCCCTCCCTAGCCCTCTCTCCGCCCGGCAGGTGGAGGCCGCGTGGAGCTGTCGGGCTCAGCCAGCGGCGCGGCGGGCGGCTGCAGGGACGCGTGGGCCTCGGAGGGGCTCCTCCTGGTGCTGCGCGCTGGGCCGGGGCCGGACGCGTTACTGCAGGCCTGGGCGCCCGACTCGGCGCTGCGTGGGGAGCCCTTGTGGGCCCACAATGTGGTGCCCGAGGCCGTAGAGGAAGACGATCCGGGCGGTGAGGCCCAGACTGGGAGGCTACCCCTGTTGCCCTGCGCCCGTGCCTACGTGAGCCCGCGGCCTCCCTTCTACCGGCCTCTGGCTCCGGAGCTGCGGGCGCGCCAGCTGGAGCTGGGAGCCGAGCACGCGTTGCTGCTAGACGCCGCTGGTCAGGTGTTCTCCTGGGGCGGGGGCAGGTGAGCGGGGCCGGGGGCAGGTGAGGGCTGGTGATTGGAGAAGCAAGCGGAGGGGGTCCCCTTAATGTGACTGTAGCTGACGAGGGTCTCCCTTGCTTAGGCATGGACAGCTGGGCCATGGGACCCTGGAGGCAGAGCTGGAGCCACGGCTATTGGAGGCGTTGCAGGGCCTAACCATGGCTGAGGTGGCCGCAGGGGGCTGGCATTCTGTGTGTGTGAGTGGTGAGTGACTTAGTGCTTCTCCGGACGAGCTCATGATCTTGTGCAAACCTTCCTCCTCGTTTTCCAGTTTGGGTGGGTGACCTACCCAGGCCTCCTTCCAAATTCATCCATCCATCGCCAGTCAGTTTTGACTCCTAAATACCTCTCACCCTCGGCCTCCTCTGCTTGCACCATCGCCCACTCATACCTGGACTCTGAAGTTTGTTCCTAGCTTCTCTGTTGCTGGTCTCACTGCCCCTCCTCTCCTCTCCCCACCTGCTACCAGTGAGGACTGTCTTTTAACAGTGCTTCTGAGGGAGTATGGAGTGTGAGGGGGCAGCTGGGCCAAGGAGAAGGGAGAAAGCTGCAGTTGCCTAGGGGACCATGACATGTGGCACAGAGTGGACACTGGGGTGCCCAGCAGGTACCAGGATGGTGATGAGTGTGTCCCTGTGGTGGTGCCACAGCTGGCCGGAGTGAGGAGTTTCATTCACTTCGTGATCCAGGTGCAGCTCCTTCATAGGCTGTTAAGAGTCCATGCAGAGAGGGTGAGGCTGGGAACAGATGATCTTTGCCTGTGTCCGGGGCTCTCAATTCTCGCTGCTACTTAGATTACCTGGAATCTTAAAAAGCTACCAATGCCAGGGGGGCCGGGCGTAGGGGCTCACGCCTGTAATCCCAGCACTTTGGGAGGTCGAGGCGAGCGGATCGCGAGGTCAGGAGTTTGAGACCAGCCTGACCAACATGGTGAAACCCCGTCTCAAAAAAGAAAAATACAAAATTAGCTGGGCGCAGTGGTGCGCACCTGTAGTCCTGGCTACTCGGGAGGCTGAGGCAGGAGAATCGTTTGAACCTGGGAAGTGGAGGTTGCAGTGAGCCGAGAT